GTTTTCATCACCATTCAAACGTTTTAAACCATATCAAGATCATATTTTTGTGTTCGTGTTGTTCATCGTTGGGTTCTCCAGATATCGCCCAAGAAACAGGCGCAAAGCTTCATTTTTCAATCGCGTTTTCAATTGAGCGATCTCGAAATGTTGCGTGTTTTTGTGCCTTCTCACGACTAATTTTTGAAATTCAAAGTATTTTTGGACATAATACTAACAGGTTATCTTATTCCTGTGGGCTGTTGATCGCTTTCTTTCAAATTCTTTGAGCAATCATCAGATGAAAAACTTTTCTGGTATCACTTTTTAGCGGCCATTGAAACTTCACGGACCGGCTCACGAGTGACGTCATAATGGCCAAGATCATCGGGCGCGCAATCGCATGGCCACTGAAGCAAAGTTGACCTCTCCCTCCTGCTCGTCGTGTAGTGTTCACGTAGTCTGAGGAACTTGGAATCGACTTTCGAACCGACGTCCGAACCGTCATACTATGTATTTGTTATTTCACGATAGATAAGGTAAGTCAAGTGACATCTGTCCTCGATTTTCTTTTAATGTACATTGTGTTTTAAGCTTACTTCTACCGAATCAAATGAAAGGAAATGAAATGAAATCAAATCAAATCAAATAGTTTATTCTAGGCACAGAACTCATCAATTAAGTTTATTGAAGTCTATGACCAAAGAAGTCGTATATTCTATTGTTAATTGCCTGCTTTGATCAACAATACGTTGATTCTGCATTTTTAGTTACCATGGTTCAACTTACTTATCATAATTTTTATAACGTGTCATAACAAGGTTAAATAATTAATTAAGTTAGGCTTATGTGGTGAGTAGGTCATTAAGCACTGCATTAAGGCACGGTGTGTACATGAATTTCAGCTTCCCTATTTTACCATACCAAAATTTGCATAATATAAGACAGTCAGAAATCTTGTTTACATGTACTGTTCTGATATCCCATGATATCATTCAAGTCACTGACTTGCTTGGTTCCTAGGCCTCAATATTTTACCGCAGTCAATTGTTTTGGGTCACAATGTCTGGGATGAAATGTGAGTCCTAGGCAGAAACCCGAAAGTTGAGACAATTTAAGCTTATGTGGGCAGTAGGTCGTTAAGGCACAGTATGCATATGAATTTAAGCTTCCCTGTTTTACCATACCTTAAATTTGCATAATGTACTTGACAATGTGTAGTTCCAGAAAACAGTTCCAGACACCCCCACCCCTCTGGAAATTCCAATTAGGCTTGTTGCATTTCTTTAAATGTTTTGGTCTTAGAGAACCCTCACCCCCAGGAAATTCAACTCCCTTCTGTGAGGGGGAGTATGGATATTTTCTGGAACTGTACCATCAGAAATCTTGTTTACATGTGCTGTCCTGATATATTGCTGTCCACAATATCATTCAATATTTCGCTGCAGTCAATTTTTTTGGGTCACGTGGTCTGGGATGAAAAGTGACACCTAGGCAAAAACCCGAAAATTAAGGCAATGTATGCTTATGACTTGTGGGCAGTAGGTCCCTATTTTAACATACCTAAATTTGTATAATATAAGACAATCAGAAATCTTGTTTACAAAATTGTGCTATCCTGATATCCCATGATATCATTTAAGTCACTGACTTGCTTAGTTCCTAGACCTCAATTTTGTCTCAATATTTTGCCGCAGTCAATTGTTTTGGGTCACGTGGTCCGGGGCAAAAAGTGACGTCTAGGCAAAAACCCGAAAATTGAGACAATCTATCTCAATTTTTGACTGAGCCAATTTCGTGTCACGGAAGGGAATTCTCTGGGCAATTCTGGGACACGGACAGTTAGAGAAAAGCTATTTCAACTCTTCGCTTTTGTTTTAATGTTAACTGGTCAAGTTACACAGCTCATTTTGATCCAAACGGACATTATCGAGACAGAAGCATTGCTGCTTCAAACCACTGGCAAAATATTTAAGGCTTTGAAGGTTGCTATTACATCTGACCATAGTGCTTGGTCAAAGAAAATGTAAATATACCAACATTTCTTATATTCTGGATTCAGGAATAGCTCTCTAAGTTAATCATTTAACTTTAGTTTGACCGCTATGCAAGAAGCAATAATTCGCTTGCAGTGCTGTCTTGTAACTAACAAGTTTTCTGGAAGGTAATTACCTTGCGAAATAAAGAATTGGTTCATGCTTAGCGCATCTATATCAAGTTATGGATGCATGTGGGAAGTTTGGAGAGCACAAAAGAAGTGTATGAGTTGCTCGAGGTGATAGACGAGAGTAACTCTAGCTTCTTCAGTGCTCTCCGAACTTCCCAAGTAAACTTAACCTTGCGCATAACTTCTATACGTACATGTTTCTGTAGGTACCACTTAACCACAGGCTTATTTACTAAACGACGACTACAGCAACCTTTTCTAGAATCCTCTTTAATATATAATAAAGGAGATAAAAAACAACAAGTCAAATCGTCCAGACCTTGGACTTTGCCGTCAGATAACAAAGCTGTGACACAATTATTATTTTATCGTGACAGGCGCTATTAGAACTGCACTCTAAGAAACACACAGACAGTTCGACAGATTTTTATAGAACAAATTTGTGTAGGAGCGAAATATTCTTCCAGTTTTCAGTTAAAAACATTCTGTAGTTTACTGGAAATTTTTAGGTTAAAACCTGTCAGCATTCGCAGCTTGATACAATTGGTTGCTTTGGCTTTCAGTTAAGGTGCATGTATAATAAAAAAGTTTGTGTGACAAGCATAATAATAGTCCTAACTGTAAGTTGCATTGTGAGGAAGTTTTCTTCTGTTCCAAACTGACCATGCCTGGGATAAGTCACTGGAATCAATTGGCCGTGAAGGCCTGGGAGAACGTTGTACAGGAACTAGGCAAGTCACTGACCTGATATGTTCACAATGTCACGGTCACTTTCAATTAGGTCACGCCAAGATGCAGACCATGCAGACTGCAGACTGCAGACCGTGCAGACCTTGCAGACTGTGTAGACAGTGCAGACTGAGTACTTTTTTTTTCTCACACTAGTTTTTATATTTACTTTTGACTCACATTGTTTTTGGTTCTAGTTACATAGTGTTCAATATATCAAAATGTTTGTTATCTATGCCGGGAATGCACAAGCTCTAGTATTAAAGTCCTAAAAAGTGATTTATATGTAGAAATGTACTTCACTTACCTCAACATACACTGTAGGGTGTTCTTTGTGTCTTCCATACATTCTGGGAGCAAATTGTATCCATTTTGTGAAAGGTTTTTGGTTTACAGGTTTTTTCGATTTCCATTGTCTTTGTTCCCTCTCATAAAGAGGGCCTTGCCAAGTAGGAGGGTCTGGGGGCATGCCCCTCCGAAAATGTTTGAAATTCTGCACTCGTACATGTAGAGATGGGTTTCCTGCAATTTGAACCACAACATTGGCAGCACTCAGTTGCCTACAAACCCATCATTACGGGTGGATTTGCTCTAATTTTGACATATTTAAAGTGGGCTCTTATGTCAAACATTTGTTTTCGAAATAAATTAATGGATTAATTTAAAGATGCAAGGGAAGTAAAGTGTACTATAACCTTGAAAATTGTGGTTTTGTAAAATAATCTCAACTTTTTAGAAGACTGTAATAGGCACGAACAGTATGTACTTATATTAATGTATTTTAAGTATTGATGAAGCAGCCAGCAGAATTCTGTTTACAGGCACTCAATTTGTCTGGTGCCTGGCTCTGAATTAATTTTAAAAAAACCTGGTTTAATAATGTGTTCAGATTTCAGAAAATGACCATATCCCTCTCACTCCCCCCCCCCCAATCCCTCTAAAAATTCCAGTTTTTGTTCATTTCTATTAATTTTATACATTTTGGTTTTTGAGGGAACCTGATGCCCCTTGGAAGATCCAATTTACAAGTGGAACCAGGTAATACATAATTTATTAAAGGCCAAGAGAACTTAAATTATTTGTTAAAATAATGTTTTACATTTTAAAGCAGATCAATGAAGGGGTTTGGAAAATTTCCTCTGAGGAGGAAGAAAGCAGAGAAGTCACCAGTTGCTGGCGCAGCTAAATTTCAGGATAGCGATGATGCTAATGAGGTTAGTTTGGTTGTTGATTGATGTGATAACCATGAAGGTGTACGTGTGTATAAGGAAGCCTTTAGTGTATCAGTAACCTTTGGTATATCTCCCTCTTTCAGTCCGACTTTGCACAAGTCAGGGAGTAACTGCAGAATACCCGGCCACTTGAAGTTTTACCCCTTACCTGGATATGCGGCTACCAGTTTGTGCGCAGTCTTTCTTTTTTCACATTTAGAAAATGAAACATAGATGCATTACATTGGTACATGGCTATGTGGCTATGCGGCTACATGGCTACACAGCTACGCAGCTTTGCGCCTACGCGGCCAGCGGCATAGCTGCCTAGCCACTGTTTGAAGAAGTGTTTTGGAGTGGCCGGGTGGTCTGCAGGCACACTTATTATTCTTTTCCATGCTTCAGGACGAGTGTCATCAAGATGGAGGTATTGAATGAAGAGGATTGCTCCCTCTTAAGCATGCTGTACTGCTGCTCCCTCCAACAAAACTTTTTCTTAGCATTCTGTAACGATTTTGAATCACATTATCGCGTGTTCACATATATTATTCTTCTCAGAGGCAGCACATGGTTTAACTCCTTCGATGACATTGCAGGCCAACTCATCCCATTGTTCGCTATTCCTCGGTCATGGCCATGGAAGAGGCCAATTTTACAGACTTTTTCACAGTGGTGATCAGAAAAACAAGGAGATTTATATAAGTGAAATACAAAATTTGGGGGGTTAGCCTACACTTTAAAAGGCTTGGAAATTGTGCATGTGCTTGTAAGATCTAAGAAATTGACATGGAGGACCAGGGAATGAGAATATGATAAATTTCTGATTTTGTGAATTTTTTTACTTCTGGATTTCAATCACTACTTGCAACATTTGTTGCCACAAAGAAAGCTTCAGCTTGGATAACCCGTGATTACTTCACAGGCCTGCCATCACACCCTGTCACCCTGTTTCCTACAGGTGTCATGTAATTACTAACTGCTATGACCATTAGCATTTGGTAAGATGTGATATTTAGAGGCTGACAATCCCTTTTTGAGATGATCAACCTGCCTTTATTGGTGTCTTTTTCAGGAGGTTCAGGACAACATGCTGACTGATCTGGACAAGTTGTACATAGCTATGGCTGAAGTTGATTCAGCTTACCTCTTCAATATGTTTTGCTACAGTCTCAATATTAAAAGCCTGACTGCTTTGAAGGATTATGATTCAAGACAGAGCGTCTTAGTGGATCGACATGAAATTGACCTTGTAAAAAAGAAAGTTGCAAATAAGGACTTAGATTTTAAAGTCCTTGCAAACAAGGTAATTAATGATTTGCTGCAGGTTAAATGTAATATTATTTACATGAGGTTGTTGTCAAGCTGATGGAATACGTTTCACTGCACGCAAGGATGTTTCAGTGTACGTAAAAGATATGAAAGTAATTATAATGACTTAATTATATCCAGTTTATTTTATGGATGACTGAGACATGTAGAAGTCTGACCCTACCATACGTTCTGTACAGGTCCATAAATGGGCAGTATAGAGCCATTGCAATAAAACTTTTAAATTTATTAAACAAAGGAAGGTGTTGAGGTGTTTGGAAATGTGGTCAAAGACTGTCTTGAGTGTTTGATATATCTTCGCAATCTAAACTAAAACTAAGGACAAAACGGAGAAATAAAATTATTTTAAAAATCTATGCTAATTAAGATCAGATTTCCAAACACCGTCACGGTCATGATTTCCTTTGTTTAATGTATTCAAAATTTAATAAGTATGAGAACGTTGATTAAAATGCGAAAAAAGATCAAAAGGTTGTTCTGATCAACTAAGCTTTGCATCGCGAATGAACGTGTGTAATGTATGGTTTTGAATTTATTGCAGAAATACAAGCAAAGTAAACTTGTTGAAACTTGTAAAATCAAGCACATACCAGTTATTCAAATGAAAGACATAACTGTCACTGGAACCATAACGGAGGGCCCATATGTTGGAAGTGTGTGCGAGGCCCTGTGGACGAAACCTGATGGTAGCAAGGTATAATTGGTCCTACAGTTTTTTGGTGTTAAGTCTTGTCTTGAGTGCTTTGAATTTCCCTGACACTTATAACAAGTTTATTTGTAATGTTTGTTGCTTCCATGCAGGGTAAAGTGTGTCTTCGATATGAAACTGATTATGAACAAAACTTCTTGCACGAGGCTGACATGGCAAATGTTCTCCGTCACGAGAATGTCCTTGATCTATATGGAGTGGTCATTGCCAGTTCGTATTCACCATCTCTGGCTTTAGTAAGCTTTTTATAAACCTTTCACTTGTAAGCTTCCCAGTCATATATAGTGATAGTTTATACAAACTAGTGTTAACATAAAAGGCAAACAAGTCAATGAAGAAACAATCTAAAAAGAAAAGAACTGAACTCAGCTGAAGGTATGGTTTTTTTAAATTATTTAATTTAAATCAGTAATTCAGGGGCAGGGCTCGACATAAGCGAGACCGCTTGATCTGACGTCCAGGGCGCCACCAAAATGGGAGGTTCGAGGGTGGCCATGTAATGATACACTGTACGCTGTGGAACTAACTGAGTTTGCTTTTGTCAAGGTCGTACAATTTGCAAACTATGGAAATCTTAGGGAGTCACTTAAACATCACACTGTGGAACGATTGTGTAAATTTACAATCCAGGCCGCAACTGCTTTGGAACACCTGGAAAAGAAGAAAGTCATTCACCAGGCGGTTGCTGGATATAACTGTTTGGTTGTTGCAGATTACCAGGTGAGCACAGAAGAGGGACTGTTTGAAGATTAGTCACACGTTCTATCTTCTTAGAAATTTGATTGTTGTCAAATCAGAATATATATATACATACATACATGCATACATGCATACATGCATACATGCATACATGCATACATGCATACATGCATACATGCATACATGCATACATGCATACATGCATA